AAACCCATCTAAGCCAAATTATTATTTCCTCAAACGTTAGGATCAGTTTGAAAAACCCATAGCATCCCATTCATCAATCACTAACAATCCGACAAGACTGACGATGACTCACAATCGGTGTGTTTGTAAAATCGTGACTTAAAAGTTTAATCTGCTGCAAAGAAAGGGGTGGCCCGCACCCTATTTTTACCTGGAAATTCTTTATAGTTCTTGCAGTTAAAATGAATAAAATGAAAATAATGCAGCCTTATTGTGAAAGAAAAGCCTCCAAACACTCACCCTTTAGAATTTCTAGGTCCATGAGTTGGTACAGGCAATTATAAAGAAATTCAACAATATATACAGAATGTATTTTTCTACGTTAATAGATTAGTCATGCAATCTGTGGCCACCACCTGTAAAAACGGCTGGTTTGCTTCCCACATAATGCACTTATTGGTGAATGACATTTTTTTTCTTTTTATCCTCCTGTTCCTTGCCCAACTGAGTTTTCTCAGCAACTATTCATCACAGCAAAATACTCCTCAGTTTCCAACTTCCTGTTTCCAGACCTCTTTTTATTTTCGTACATATGGTCATACATGGGAGTTTTCATGGCATTTTTCTCCAGAACTAACGCAAAAACAATGTTTAGTCTTCATTCGACTCGAAGTTAAACAAATAGTTGACCAAAAAACCACAACAAAAATGTACTAGTTTTATAACGGTTGTGATTGTTTTGAAATGCTATAAATGCAGAGCTTCCAAGGGGGGCTTGGCCCCACCCCCAATCCCCTGGTCCCCCTACCAGGGCTTTGCCTAGGACTCACTGGGGGCCTTGTGTGGCCACCCCTCGCCCTTTAGTCTGTGATTCCACTTCATTGTGAAGGTAGCTACGCCCCTGATTGGACCTAAGAAGGGGCAGTTAGATCTCCAAATTTTCAAAAGGTTTATTGTTTGCATTTACAGTAGTGTCGTACACTGAAGTGTTTGCATGGGGTAAATTTTGCAGTAAGATGCCAAACCTAAGTGAAAATACTACATATACATGAAAATTTCCTGATATATTTGGCAATTAACAAACACTGTCAAAAATTGCTGAACAATTTCACTGCAAAATTCAGAAGCAATACAATGAATAGGCCAAAAGAGAGAAGATAAAGCAGCACTAAAAAGAGAAGTTATCTCATTTATATGCCAAATATGAAGATAAATCCAAGATGATCATGACATTGTAAAATTTGGAAGAGTATGCTGCACATTAGTATACTAACACTAGATCAATATCCCCCCCATCAGGCCTTTTGACCTTCAGGCTGATATTGATCTCTCAGGTGATTCAGCATAGAATAAACATTTTGCCATGAACTTTTCTTTGTATAATTCAATATAGTGGGATGCATGAATAAAAAAGACAAAGTACATTCAATGTTTTTAGTACACAAACTTAGGACCAATGAAGTATTTTTGAATATTTAACTTAGCTGCATATGATTTTAATACACTTAAGTCAGATTGGTAACTTAATTCAAAAAACAGCTCCTAAATAAATAAACAGATTTTTTATATATATATCATTTAGATATTACCCATGTTAATATGTCACAATAAATGGGTTCTTTTCAGCTGTGTTATGCATTTCCACTTTTCATTAAGACAAAATGGCACTTCACTCTTCAAGAGATTTATCAATAAGAAAAACAAATGTGTTATCAACTGTTATCCATCCAAGCTGTTACAACAAAGACAAATAACTGCATCTATTGCTCACCTTGTAGCTGTCCTGTTTTAAAGTCAACACTGACTCTACCTGAGTACCAAAACAGCACAGCAAAGTAGTCAGGGGGAAAAGTGTCCATTATAAAATGTTTTCCTATCAAGACTACTAAAATATATTCTGAAAACCCAAGATACTTTATCAACCTCAGACACAAATTCAAAGAAGCATTAATGCAAGTTCCTTTATTGAATGTCAAAAATAATTGGTTATAAATAATAATGAACAAACCTTGAACCTTCTTCCATTTCCTCCTCCCTCACTTCTACACTAATAATATCGTCTAATCATAATGTATATATATCATGCCTACAATCTTATTATTCACACATACTGTGATAATTAAGTACTGTTAATTAACCATTACATCTAATAGTCTTTACTCCTGGGTATATGGGAAAACACTTTGCCATAAGCATGTTCTGTTTATAGTTAAAGATGCCACCCAAATTTGAACAAAATTGGATGAAGAATGAGCCTTCTTTTCACATAGATATAACAAAATAAGGAACACTGGATAAATGACATGGATGACAATATGATGTTGGTAGACTAGAACGCTGTTGAGAATTGTCCACAAATAACACCAAAATAGGCAAATTATATTGATTTTTTTACTTGAAATAATCAAATCCTAAGAGAAAAGTACACCGAAACAGAAGTGGCTCATTTTGGCATTACAGGGGAAGATCTTGTCCCACATCAAGGAGTGGTCCTAAACAATTGGCCTTTTCAAATGTAGCAAATTCTGGGGAAAATTTTCAAGACACCTTCTAATCAATGGATGTCCAACAAATGGTTTAACACTATTTTAATTTTGCTGTATAAAAAACAAACAAAATTAGCCACAATCCTTAAGATTCTGAGTATGCAAATTGATAGTCAAATATATGATGAAAAGCACAGATGCATAGACATGTTGAGATAATTAAACTTGTTCACTTTTTACTTGAAGTGAAGTTCATTTCAAACAGCAACATAATTACTTGACTGATAGAGTGTCTAAGGATGCTTGGCTATGAATAAATCTTTCCTTCTGTAAAGTGCTTACAAGAAATAGAAAGGAAACTATAATTGGGATGGGCCGGTTATGCAACATCATACACATATTATGGACTAAGAATACCTGGCAAAGGTCAAAGGGAAGGGTAAAATTAGATAGAAAATGATTCCTTTTGAAGAATCCACTGAATGTTATTGAAAGGGGTAGGTTAAAAAACTGCTAAAAAACTAGTTCAAATTTAAAATGTCTATGTATAAAAAGAATTTGTGGTATGATTGCCAATGAGACAACTCTCCACAACAAACAAAATGACACAGAAATTAACAACTATAGGTCACCATATGGCCTTCAACAATGAGCAAAGCCCGTACCGCATAGTCAGCTATAAAAGGCCCCGGAATGACAAATGTAAAGCAATTCAAACGAGAAAACTAAAGGCCTAATTTATGTACAAAATAATGAACGAAAAACAAATATGTAACAAAGCAACAAACGACAACCACTGAATTACAAGTTCCTGACTTGGGACAGGCACATACAGAATGTGGCAGGGTTAAACTAGTTTGAAGGCGCAAACCCTCCCCCTAACCGACTAATAAAAAAAATCATTTAAGAATAAATGTGCCTGTCTATCAATACACTCCCTACCCAATTCACTCCCCATTCTTGTGAGTGGTTGTCTTTTGTTATATCTTAGAATTGATGACAGATCTTTAATATTTTCAGTTACATTTATTTTCAGCTTTTGTTTACATAGATTTAGAGGTAGGCATCTTTTGTTTACATAGATTTAGAGGTAGGCATATATTGTTAAAGATGTATGTTGACATCTAGATGTCATGTTAGTGTTGTTTCATGTCACTTGGTTTCTGCTTCATTTGAAGTAAACCACACACCTTTATTTTTCATAATAAAATCTTATGAACATCGTTTGCATTTATTCTTCACAATTTGAAAATCCAACAGGCTGCATTGATGACATGAATCCCAGCTAGAAGTGCATTTAAGGGGAGTCTGATCAAGCATCAGAATTTAATTCAATTCATTTGTTGCATTAAAACTTAGATATTTCAGTCCCTGTGCATTGTAACATTGGGGTTTAGTACAAAATGTGCCTTTCTGCTGACCAATAATCAACTCCTTACAACTACAATTCTGTTTATTGTCAATCCTTCAGTACTAAGTTCCTATAATTTTTTTTGACAAAAGATAGAAAAGAACAGTTATATGTCTTCAGGTTTGAAACTTTAAAGCTTGATTAGAATGAAAAGATATTTCACAACACTGATGTATATACATATAAGATGAGTAAAGTAACGCAGCTGATCTAGTTATATGATAATAGAAATATCAGAAGATGTGGTATGATTGCCAGTGAGACAACTATCCATCATGTCCAATATAGACCAAATGATGTAGTTGTATTAAAGCAACAGATAATTCAAGATTTGAAATATTGGATGTATTATTCAAATGACACTATTCAGTATTGATTTTTTTTTAATTCTGTTGCTTGGTTGCTATCTCCTTGATAAATATCCCATACGCTCTTTAAAAAGTAAAACATTCTGAAAAATTCAATATCATTATAGCAGTTGCTAAATTAGACCTCCGCCTATCAAGATCGCCCTCTAATACTAAAGAACTCCCCAATAGTCTGGTCTAGTTCCAATAATATGACAAAAACAATATTCAGTAAGAGAATGCAGACCCTCCCCTGATGCTAATATCTTGACAACATTCATCATGTAAACAAAGACTGACAGGCAACAATTTGGCTAAAAATATAAGTTATCTTTCTTGAAAACCAGACATTGCAATTGCAAGTTTTGTTGCAGCCTATTCTCTTATGGTTGTGGCCTGTTATCTATTTCTTGCATGAAGAAACATCTCTCGTATCACACTGCACTCTAGTTATTTAGTTTAAAACAGTAATAATAAACTCACCGAAGGTTCGTTTAATTATCATATTAAATTTAAATAACTCAACTTGATATCAAGCGATATCCAATTCTCCATCATTATGAACCTATAAATATTGCATTTTTTATATAAACTCAGAAATTAGCTACCTCAATATCTCTAAAACTATTGAATGGATACCTGGATATGATGATACTCCAGGTAAAAAAAATGCACTTATGTATCAACATTTATTTTTTTTTCTTTTCAAATTCATTAACAATTTGAATTACACATCAACAATTGTATGTTTTAATACCATGGTAACAGAATACTAACCTTGGGAAGTAAATGTTTGCTTAGCAATATAATATCCATTTTAAATTTGATATCAATATTTCCACAAAAGGCTGATTGTGTCTGTATGTGTATGTACTCTAAGCTGATCAATCGAAAAATATGGCAATTCACTAAAAACCAATCATACAGAATGATTTTATTCGATAAACAGGTGTAAATGCATCCAAGCTCACAAGAAACTATATAATTATCCTTCTAAAATATTGTGTTTAGATAGAGTTTCAAACACTAATCAAATCAATGCAATAATATATATTTTCATCGAAAAATCAAATTCACATCAGCAATAAAATCACCAATTATTAATCCTAAAAATGTATTTTGTGAAGATGCGCTGCTGATGAGTCTTCAAGTAATTATTTGGCTCCAGATGCTGCGAGGTAAATTTATTTGGCAAAGAGATGAAGAGCTCTCACCAACGCAATTTACACTAGGATAATTTAATGAAGGTAAAATCTGACAAGAAAAACTGTCAAAAATTGTATCTTCTATGTATCCATCCAACACTTTACTGTGCAGAAATTATAACATGTATATATAATGAATAAAATAGACTGCACAAGAGAGAGATCAATACCTTTAGCCAGCTGTTGAGAAAATAAGAATGTTAATAATTCAAATGGGGACTCCCATGGGGAACCACAATACAAAACTGAGATTATCCTATTATCTTCTCTGCAGGGTTACTTTTAATGAATGGACACTGGAACATTTAACCAGTATTGATAGCTGATTAATGTGTTCAGGCTAAAATTAATTTTAACATTCAGCCATTCACCTTAGGGAGGGAATAAAGTCTTTCTACCTGAGCTGTTCAGCATTTTTATACTTATTATCAATTAACTCCCACCATCTCCCATCTGTTATATAATAGGGGGAGACCATAGACATGTCACTTGTTTACCAAAGTTTCTTTCTTATTTGATTTTTCTAGGATACTGTTTAATACATGAAAAATCTTCACTATTTAATATGTTGAAGCATTAGTTCTCAGCATGTAATTTGTCAAACTTTCAAATCAGCACAATACTAGTAACTAGCTAAAATTCTCTTAATAAATGCTATTAAAAAATTTTGGTTAGAACTTAGAAGAAAATCTTTCTTTTGAATATCACCAGTAAAAAGAGAACAAATGAAACTTGGGTGTATATATACATGCCCATAGAAATTATAAATACATGACTTAAGTGAGAGGAAGAAGATTCTATTGGAATGTTCACAGGGAAACTAAGAATATGTACCAGTTCCTTATTTAAAACCTCTTTTGGTATGGAAAACTATCTTAATTAATAGTTTACGTTACAAAATTCCACATCTCAGGTGATCAAATATTGATAGAACCAGGAAGGTACCGAGGCATACCAAGCTAGAACCAAATGTTCACTAAATAAGTTTGAGGATGATATTATTTATTCTCCTGTAATAACTGTAAACATACACAGAACTGAAATGATCTATTTAATTTGATCTCAGATAACTGCACAAATTGTGTAGAACTTGTGTGATCATGACAAATTGATCTGGCTAATGAAATGTAAAGATATTAATCATATCTTTGATTGCTGTGCTTAGTTCATCAAAAAATTTGTAAGGGGTTCCCGGGAACCCTGTGTCCCGCCTACGATTGCTGCTGTCATTGTAAAAGTGTAATGTTGACTTAAAAATGGAGTCTATTTATCAGTTAAATACAGAATTTAAAAAAGAAATCACTTTCTCTTTAGATGCTATTTCTTGGTCTTGAAGATTAGCTTCTATCCAAGATTCATAACAATCCATGAAGGTTTACAAACTTATCTTGTCAAATAAATTTAATCCCAGACTGTCCATCTATCAGAAAAATACTGAAAATGAAAATATATTTTCAAAAGTTTGCTTCAGACATTATCTCTTAATCATAAAAAAGTTTCATAAAATTCTATGAAGGTTTGACAAAGTATTTAATGTGTAACAAACTTTAACCCCAGACTGTATCTACTTGTTAATTGTAAAAAAAACTTAACCCCAGACTGTATCTACTTGTTAATTGTAAAAAAAACTAAGTCCATTTATTAAAAATACAGAAAAATGAAAATAATTATTTTCAAAATTTTGCTCTGTATACTGTATTTTGGTCATTAACAAGCTTGTGTCCAAATTTCATATAATTCCATGAAGGTTTGACAAAGTTATTGATGACTAAAAAATTTTAACCTCAGACTGAATATGAATGTTAACTGTAAAAAAAAAACTAAGTACATATATCAGTAAAAAATGGAAAAATGAAATAAATATTTTCAAAATTTTGCTCTGTATACTGTATTTTGGTCATTAACAAGCTTGTGTCCAAATTTATAAAATTCCATGTAGGTTTAACAAATTTATTGATGTCTTAAAAAACTTTAACCACAGACTGCACCTAAATGTTGACACCGCCGACGCCGACGGAATCTAGGATCGTTATGTCTCGCTTTTGCAAAATTTTTATAAATTTCACAGGCTCAACAAAAATGATTTTCTATATAGAACAGGGAATGGGAATGGGGAATGTGTCAGAGAGACAGCCCAAGGCCACCAATGGGTCTTCAACACAGTGAGAAAATACTTCATACAAAATCACACAAGACTAACAAAGGCTAGAGGTTCCAGACTTGGGACAGACACAAAAATGTAGCAGGGTTAAGCATGTTTTGTAAGATAAAACATGAAATACTTTGAACACTATGTTGTCATTACTGTATATATCAAGTAATAAAGACTTTTAATGCCACTTAATTATATATGTATTATTATTTATCATGATATCTTAGGTCAATGTACTATTCTAATGACACTTTTCTTGTTTTACAAACATCTAAAAAAACATACAATTATAATCAGTACAGGAAAAGAACTAAACTCCATAATAACAGAACAAATGGTAACAAAAACACAACTACAACTAAAAATGATTACAGTTAGCGTAAGCAAGCTTAAAGTACTTAACCTGTTCATATGAAATCATGCTTACTGCTAATATCTGCAGGCTAATGCAAGTGACTTAAGTTAGCAGTAAATGTTGTGCTTATATTTCTTTTTTGCATTTATACCAAAACATATATCTTCTTTAGAAATGACTGAACACAGAAAAAAGTACATGTGATATAAGATCAGAAAACCTTTAACATGCGCATATATGATTACAAGGAGAAGAGTGCAATCTCTACTATTGGTTTAGGATAACACAATGTTGTGCATGGAGTTTAGGATGTATCTCAGTTTGGGCTATATATTGTTATGAAAATGAAATATGGAATCATTGGTAAAAATATTGTCTTTTAAACATATAAATGTAAAATTTTTCAATTATTTTTTTAAAGATATCTTGTAAAGTTCTACTGTACATTACCATTCTCACATTTACGAAAGATATATTAACAAACCATTAATACTAATATTTTTATACATCTCAAATTGTATACCTTTTTGTACATCTCAAACTGGCCCGAGAACGCAGTTATTTCGTAGTGCATTTCTTTTAGACAATAAAGTCAAATTAAAAAAAATAACACCTGCTCTATCTCAAAAAGATTTTTACAGTGTAGTGTACTACTATTGGGACAAATAATATCAAAATTATAGAAAAGTCTACCAGCTCTAACTCAAAATATTGACAATTCTATCTATGTTAAGGGGGTCTAAAATTCAGTTTGACAGCTTCAGACATACTAGTTTTTGACCTTTTTTAACTGGACCAAATCACTACTTAACATAAAGATTCAGCACCCAAATTTTTTTAACATGTAATTTCATCCCCTTACTTAATATTTCATGCATAAAATATAAAGAAATAAATTTGGAAAGTGTATGAAAAAAATTTGCAAGTTATACACTGTCCACATTAGGGACTATATTTGTAGACAACGAAAATCGAAGGACGATAACTGTGTCCTCGGACCAACTGTAAACATTTTTGGTCGGGTTGTTGTCTCTGACACATTCCCCATTTCCATTCTCACTTTTATTTTTATACATCTCAAATTGTATACACATTACATCATTGAGTAAACTGTATAAGAATATTTTTGGTTGAATATTAACACATGAATATTTGGAGCACATTTGTTTCTAACATTAATTTTGAAAGCAACAATTGTCTTCTACACTATGTTAGACTAATTAATTGTTTACACTTCTCTATGACCATCCACTATTATGCCATTACACTGTACAAACATTATTTACTAATCAATGCCAACATTGACAAAAATGTTATTAACACAGGGTTACAACAAGTATGCACATGGTTAAACATTGTTCAGGTTAGAAACAAATCTGCAAATGAGCCTTCAGTGTATGTGTATATTTTGAATGTCAGAAATGTTTTTGTTTGTGGGTGTAACCCTTCATGCAAAGAATGTTATCAATCAATATTGACAGAGAAAGTTAAAACAAACAATAGACAACACTAGGTGGAAAGGCATTATCATCTATGTATATATAGAAAATATTCCAGGAGTCATTATAACACTTCAAATTTGCTTATAATTTTTCAACTGTTAAAGTAATTTTCTCTTGTAACATAAATCCCCTTCCGACTTGGAATGAAATGAGGAACTCTGGTACTATAAAATACCAAAGTTTGTCCTTGTGCAAGCTTCAGAGCAGTTGCTTAATTTTTTGTTCAGAATATAACCAAAGGCACATGTTGGATGATGCAACATAGAGAGAGTATTTTTTTCAAAGGAAGCAACAACAACGATGAGAAAAATGATAAAAAAGTTTCCACTTCATAGATTCAAATGCTAGAAAAATGAACTATATATGCACATTATAACTATACGATAAGTTTGTGTTCTGCCAAGAGGAAACAAGCTAATTTTGAAAACTAACTGAACTTAATTAACATGCAACATGGTAAAAATCAACTCTACTTTCTTCTAAACCAAACTATAATTCTTATGGGCTGTGCTGATTTATAAAACATTTTCTTCAATTCTTGGAAATGTTTCAAGTTTTGATTGCTTTCATTTAAATTGAACAAAAATACAGCTTACATAGTGGACAAAAATAGAAAACTTTTACTGTTTAAACAAGAGGAAGCTGCCAACCTCCTACACTGCACTAAATGCATTTACTGTCCAAATAATAACCAAATTGTTGAAACTGTTTTGTGTAAATACTGTTCTTTTTCAATAACCACTTAGTTACAAGGTCCATTTCTAAACAATAATAATAAGAAGAAGAACTGAGCAAAACCAATAAGTCGCCAAACTTTGTTTGGGAGACTTAATAAGACTGAGTCTTCCAGGGAATCAACAAAAACTTATGAACAAAATTGTTCTATGTAATTCAAACAAAGGTGGTAGGTATAACTATAAGTTCTTAAATAATCATCAGTTTCAAGAAAGTTACAATACACTGACTGTAGTTGGAACTAGATTATTTTATAGCACAAATGTACCAAGTAATAGCAGATGTTCATCTGATCCTAGAAATACAACTACTTGGTACTTTTTAAAAATAAAAAAATATATAAGTCTTCAAAGACTAAAGCTAAATTAAAAATTTGCACAAT